TTTATCGGTACCAGGGATCGAACTCACGACCACCTGCTTGCAAGGCAGGTGCTTATGCCGCTGAGCTAAATCCCCAGCCCCTAATTTTCTTAGGGATCTTAAAAGGAATAAGTAAGCTTGCAGCTAAACCACTTAAATGCTGCTGGAAGACACGCTAAATGCTGCTATTGAATTATTACTATTGCTAAGTAATCAGTCAAGTACTTCATTTCACTGGAAAGCTCCCTTTACCACTATTGCTGCCCTACAGATTAACTGAACAGGAGCAGTGAAAATGTGTGGAGTTTGCACAGCATTTCATTTGATTTCCACAGCTCATGCCAAAGCGGCCTTACAGAGCTGTGGACCTGTCTTTGGAATTGGGGATAAGGAGAAGCCAAGAGTTTGCTGGATGTGACCACAGAGAGGGGCTGGCGCAGGTCCCCTCCTGGTGCAGCAGGGTGGGAGCTAGGACTTGAGGTGGTTTGGGTGCCCAGGGGCAAGGATGTTTGCTTCTCCTGCACATATTCTGGTTCTCCTGGCCTCTGTGCCCACTGACTCTTTTCTTTCCTCCTGTCTGGAAGCACAAAGATATGAAAGCAAACAAATCCTCCATGCTCCTGACCACAGGGGAGACCTAGGGCTTCTAGATCCACTGGGAAACAGCATGGCAGGGACCCAGCAGACAGAGATGGCTCTCTGTAATCCTTTTTTGTTCCAGTGCTGGGGATCAAACCCAGGCCTTCAACAAGTTAGGAACACCTGCTACCACTCAGCTACACTCTCAGCCCCTCAGGCCCCATTTTAAATTCAAAATTTTTCTTCCATAGAAACATGTTGCTCCTAGGAATCAGATAGTATAGTGTTGAGATCAGTACACTAAGACAATACCTGTTTGAAAATCTCTTTTCTGTAATCTCCAAGTAGCCCAGGGGTGAGTTGTCCCTTAAAGGAACACAGAGATAAGTGAGTGAGGAGGTGGCAGAAATCCAGTCTGCTGACTCAGTCCTGTGTCCCTGCCACAGATTACATGGGTTTTTGTGGCCAGTCTTGGAGACAGAGTTTTCAGAACTGAATCTGATGACTGGCTGAAAAGCAACCAGTGACCCAGAATAGCAAATAGTTAGCTGGTGCACAAGATATTTTGAAGCATGCTTATAGCTTCAGTGCCACGCAGAGGTTTCCACTGACAACCCAAGTGATGAACACTGAACTAACTTCCTACAGGATTTGTTCTTTATGGAAAAATTAAAAGCTGTGCATAAAACACAGGTATTTTTCTTTCATCTTCTCTCTCTTACTCTCTCTCTCTCTCTCAGTGATACTGGGTATTTAGCCCAGGGCTTTGTATATTCAGCTTGCTTATTTATTTATTTTTGAGACAGGATCTCACCAAATGTATTACTCCCAGTCTGGGCTCAAACTTACAATCCTCCTGCTTTATCCTCTCAGAATGCTAGGATTACAGACCTGTGCCACCACTCCGGCTATACATGTTTTTCAAGGGAGAATAGTAAGGAAAAAATAATGCAAATATTTCTTTCTAAATAAGAGTATTTTTAGCCAGGTATGGTAGCACATGCCTGTAATTTCAGCACTTGGGAAGCTGAGGCAGGAGAATTGCCTTGAGTTTAAGACTAGCCAGGGCTACACAGTAAGACCTTGTGTCAAAAAGCTAAAAAAGAAAAAAGATTATTTTCCTCCTAATTTCATATTTATAGCTGAGTTTTAAAGCTCAGGTGCTGCGACCATATTTACCCTTAAAGAAACAACAAACCTTAAGTTTATCAAATCAATGGATACTTGTCTGACCTGTTCTGTCACTGACTAGCTGAGTAACCACATAATCGCTAACTGCCTCAAATTATTCACCTATAAAATGGAGTTAACAATAGTTCTACTCTACTAAGTTAGGAGGACTGAAAAGCTGCACAAAACCAATATTCCATGAATGCTGTTACCAGGCACATGATGGTGAGAGTACAAGGATGGCAGGCTCACTTCTGCTATCAGACTAGATCCTGCTGGGTTCAAAAATCCCCGTTATCCGTGTTAATTGTAATACAAAACAAAACCAAGTTTTACAGAAAGGCATTTGTCAAAGAAAGAACTTTTGTTTCTTCTGTGTGGGGGACTAGGAAAGCCTAGCTAAAAACATTAGCTTTTAAGAAGTGAGTGTAGCCAGAAGTGGTGGTGCATGCCTATAACCCCAGCACAGGGGAGACTGAGGCAGAAGGATTGCAGCCATTTTGTGTCTAGCCTGGGCTACATAGTGAGTTCAAGGCCAGCCTAAATTGCACAGCAAGACCCTGTCTCCAAAACAACGGAAAAAAAAGTGCATCTGGGTTGAAGGAATCTGACCACCACCGTCCTAGACTGACCAGAGACTACCTAAAGCCTCTTGCTTGCACTGTGCTTTTACACCTGCTAAAGATGTCTAATCATGGATTAGTACAGCCCAGTAAGCACAGCTGTACCCTGTAACTTCCACTACATTCTCCAGCTTTGCTCCTGGCAGACACCACCACACTCTACATTTCTCAGGCCTTCACTCCCCAGACAAGCCACAGCTCGTTTCACTGCACTTTCCCCTTCAAAGACCCATTTTGACACTTTGACCTTTTCTTCCACAGCCCTTCCCCCACTTCCCCACCCCCTACCCGGCCTTTGTGCTCATGACCCTGTAACAGAGCTCAAAGCCTTTACCACAGTCACAGGTCTGGTCCCAGTGCCAGGGTGGTCCCTCTCTGGTTTGTTCTAAAACAAACCTACCCTGTTGAGCTTGTGCCTCTGTTCTCCTCCTTTTGTCTCCACATTGGCCAAGGCACTGTTGAAATCACATGCCTGTAATTTCAGGTCTTCAGGAGGCTCAAACAAGAGGATCACAAATTTAAGGCCAGTTTGGGCAACTTAGTAGAACCCTCCAAAGAAAGTAAAAAGAACTGGGGTGTAGCATAGTGGTAGAGCATCCCTGAGTTTAGTCTCCAGTATCCGGGGAGATTTAAAGAGTGGGAATTAGGGAGCAGAATTTCAGTAAGAAAAAGTGATATATGAGAAAAAAATTCTCTAGGCTCACAGAAAAGCTATAGAGCAGGGATAGTGAACTTTTATAGATGAGTGCCCAGACTTAAACCTGAGTAATGAGGTTTTATTTATTTATTTGGTACTAGGAATCAAACTCAAGCCCTTGTGCTTGCCAGGCAGACACTTATGCCACTGACCTACATCTCCTGCCCAACAATGAAGTTTAGTTTAGAAAAAAACCACCTTAATAACACAGGTTTGTCACCAGTGCTATAATATGTCCATGTCCATAGACTTTGAGATGAAAGGTCATATCCTGTGTTTAAGGAGTCTAGAGAAAGTCACATGAATAATTTTAAAACCTAGACAATAAAGTTTTAGGTGAGAAAACACATATAAAATTAAAACCATGACATTTCAGATTCTTTTCATGAGATGGAGTCATAAAAAATAAAAATGACCCACGCGTTTCAAAAGCAGTTTATCTCTACTCAGTTATATATTTCCAGCGTGTGTTCCGAGCAGAATTAAAAAGCAGCTCTAAGGAAACCCATGGTGAGAATATGCTGCCTGATTTCCCATTGGTGATCAATATTTACCTTTTAGGAAGACCTTTCTTTTTTTTTTTTTTTTGGTCTTTTTCCTTTTTATCGGTACCGGGGATCGAACTCACGACTGCCTGCTTGCAAGGCAGGTGCTTATGCCGCTGAGCTAAATCCCCAGCCCCAGGAAGACCTTTCAAAGGTCGCCTGAATTAAAAGGTGGATGATCAGGGTTTACCTTTAGGAACAACGATCAAAGGTCAAAAGAGAACTATCTTAGGAATTCAGGCACCACTGGGTGGGAGGATCAAGGAGTGCCAGGAGAATTTGGGAGAGATAGAGGCTTGCAGAGACGTTTACTCCTCTCTCCCCCACCCCCACAGAACCTGAGTAAGTCTGAACTCCGGAGACCCGCCAGGGCGGAGAAAAGGGGTAATAGCGGAGTTCATTGAGCTTCAAAAATGAGGTGGCATCATGCAAATGACTTCGAAATTCACTTAACCCTTACTTGTTAAGAAATGCATAGTAATTCCATGCTTGTTCGGTGGACGAGGCCTCCTCCGAGTGGGAGGCTACTTTATCAGCCCAACTCCCCGAGGCCAGAGAGCTGCAGAACGAGATACAGACCAGAGGGCTGGCTCCAGGGCCGACGCTCGGCATCTGTGCCTCGGGCCGCCACTCTGAGTCAACTGGACACAAATGGTATTGATAAGTTCCCTGCAATTATCTACCCTGGGGTTCTCTGGCCGGAGGGGTACCATTAATAGTTATGCTGGGAAAACAGGCCTAAACCAGAAGAGTTTGGGACAAATAGGGACAGATACACGATCCTCTTCCTGCCCTGCCCGAAGCCATGTGAAGGAGGAACTCACAGACTAAGAATACTGAGGAAGGGAAGAGACCGATGGGTGGTCCTTGAGAAAGACCAACGTTTGGAGAACTTCCAGAGACAGAAAAACCCGCCAGGAATCGTGGGGAAGGAAGGGACCCGGTGTGAGACTTCAGGGCAGTCTTCCAAGGTAGGTCTACAGCGGCCCAGGAGCTGGGAAGGACCAAGAGGTGGTGGTGGAAGGGGGCAAGGAGACCAGTGGTGACTTTCACACCGACAGCCTCGCTTCTGCGGCGCTGCTCGCCAAGTTACAGGAGTGGGAGGCGAGGACCGGACGCAGCCCGCTTTCCAAACGTGCCCTTGAAACCGAGGCGAAAGATAGGACTGACCTGGAGGTGGAGTCAGAGAAGTTTCGTTTCTTTTCTTTTTTAAAGCAAGACATTAGAATGTCTTTAAGGCTGAAAGAAAGGAACCAACTTGAAGAGGGGGCAGAAAATACAGAATGCATACCCATTCCCTTCCCGGGGCTCGTCCTGGAGCCTAGTGCGAATTTGAGAGCGGACTAGCGCCGCCGGCGGACCCGCTCCCCACCTACGGAGGTACAGCACTGCGGGGCGGGAGGGGGCCGCGGGGCCCGGAGGAGCCAGGTTGCGTCCGTGGGCTCGGGTTTCTCCAACGTGGAAACGGCTGTGGTGCCTGGGGTGTTACTAAGGGGGCCTGGTGTCTGCAGGCCCTGCCCCAGGCCCTTGATGTGCAAGATCCTTAATCATCTTATTTTGGATCGAAGGAGGCGATCAGAAAACCGAGGCTCAGTTCTGTGAAATCCAGCTGAAATCCAGTTAGGCTTTTTGGCTCTTGGGTATGAAAGCCAGGTTACCGCCTTCTGGCATCTTTCATACCTGTTGGAAGGATAATAAGCTAGCAAATTGGAGTTTATGGCTCAAAATCGTAATGCGAAAGTTTGCCGTGGACTGTTTGTGATTGAAATCAAAGTTTTTCATCATTTAATTATTTACTTTATGGGGTTCCTTTATAAAACAAGTTTGTTTTACATTTTTATTTTTTAAAGAAAAGTGCCGAGGGGCTGGGGATTTAGCTCAGTAGCATAAGGGCCTGCCTTGCAAGCGCTGTCATGAGTTCGATCACCCGTACCAAAAAAAAGAAAAAAGGCCCATAGTTTGTTTGTTTGTTTGTTTGTTTTTTAAGTAGTAGCATGTCAGGCATTATGAATTTGCACTTCATTCATAAAGTAGCGCCTTCATTTCTTCCTATAGCCCACAGGAAGCATTAATGTTGTAGCGTGGGGAAGAGCATGCTCCTTTAAGAGTTTTTCAGCTTGGTGATTTTCAGATTCTAGTGTTTGAAATTCTTCCAATGATGTTTATTGCAGAACAATGACAAATATAAGATTGTAACATGCTGGGATGATATAACTACAAATTCAGTTTGTCCACCAGAGATTCCTGCCTCTGTGAGGTAACCTGGTGATTACATAAGAGTCCAGTTTGAGGGAGTTCCTGTAGTTTTAATTTTTCATTTATGTCTGTGCATCTGTGTTTATGGACTACCTAATAACCAAGTTAGAAATATGCACCATAATGTGGGGTTTTATGATGCTTGGAGTAGGAGACCTGTGATAGTCGTTGGGGAGAGAGAGATTTGAAGAATGATAGCTGTCACTGTCTGCAATAGACATGGATGTTTCTAAATTTACTGAATTAATAGCTGCAGAGCTGAAGTCTAAGAGTTGAAGTGACTGGGAGTTGGGGACTGGAACTGATCTTTCCAGTGGCTTACTGGCAACTGTTTCTCTATTGCATCACATAACATAGTATTTCACAGTACTTTATAATTTTATTTGCTCATAAAACCACTTTTTAAAATAGTAGACCTATATTTTCCCAGCTTTAGTGTTGCATAGAGGAATCTAAGTTAACTGACTAGCATGAAATCAAAAGATGTATCTGTGGAGAAGCCCCAGGCCATAGGTCATAAGTTTGAATCATTTAACTCCTTTTTTTTTCTTTTAAAACTATGTAGCTGGACAAGATGGCACATGCCTATAATCCCATCATGTCAGAGGTTGAGGCAGGATTTCCGTGAGTTCTAAGCCAGCCTTGGCTACATAGCAAGACCCTGTCTCAAAACAACAACTTTATATGCCATGTAATTTAATATTTGACAAGTATAACTTAGAAAACTACATGCCAAGGCATAGATAAGTCAAATAAGTGCATTCATGAAAAATAATTTTCTTGTCTGTACCCCTAAAATTTAAGGGGACTTTGGAAAGTTCAAAGGATAGGCTCAGTCCCTAAAAATGAAGGATGTGGACTGTGTATAGTCCCAGTACAATGTTGCAGTAAGGTAACTGATCATGTATAAGAAATTTTTAAGTGGATTGCAAATACTCCCTATAAGTAATCAAAACAGCATCCTAATTGTTAATAACTTTCTGTGATTTAAGACTTCTTTGCCAGGTCTCTGGAGAGACTGGTCTATTTCATTCTCAGTCCTCCACAAAAGATAAACTCATTTCTATAAAGCATTGATTAATGAAAGTAAATGCCTGTCTGATTTGTGATGTTGTAAAACAACAGTCAACAATTATAATTCATTGCTTGTGAAGCTACTAAAAAATCAGTTATCCCCAAATGGAGAAATACAAGCAAGTTACTTGAAAGTAATCTCTTGTAGCAGTAGTTGTTATTAATGCACGTTTCTATTGCAGCTTTAGCCTAAGCCAAAATTTTACTTTCAAAAACAAAACAAAACAAAACAAAACAAAGCCTGAAACCATGGGCAGGCATGATAATACATGCCTGTAATCCCAGCTCTTGGGAGGCTGAGGCAGAAGGATCGCTGTAAATTCAAGGCTATCCTGCACTACATATCAAGACTCTTTCTCAAAAAAATCCCCTCTACAAGAAAAAACAAAAACATGGAACTATGACTGGAGGTAGTATTATGAAACTTTTTTAAAATCCTGCTTTGGTTTTTTGTTTGAGACAGGGTCTTTGTAATTTAGGCTGGCCTTAACTACTCTACGTAGTCCAAGTTGGCCTCAGAGTAGCAGCAATCCTCCTGCCTTAGTCTCCCAATGCTAGGATTACAGATAGTAAATTTTAGCAACATCACTTCAACATCCTTTCCTATAAAATGAGAGTAATAAAAATTATCTCATAAATAGGTCACTGTAAAGAATATGACATCTAATGCCTGTTCATAAATGTTAGCTTGTTGTATTCAGAATCTTTACCTACCTAATCACAACTACTCGTTGGAGAACCTTGCTAGACAAACAGCGCAAATAATGCATTCCTTCCCCCACCCCCACCCATACTGAAGATCCAACCTAGAGCTTTTGCACTATCAAGTAGAAGAGTTGAGGTTCCAACTCAGGTAGTACAGCTCCAGAAGTAATGTCCTTTTCTAGCACTCTTGTACAGCCTCCACTTCTCATAGTTTTTAAGTAGCATACTTAGGCTTGTATCTTTCCAAATCTAGGGTACTTCATATGCAGAGAGAGAATGCAGTAGGTCATTTAAACAGAATCCTATTGAAGTGGAGACTACACTAGGCTGTCCAGCATGCTAAATTTGAGAAGAGATCATTAACAGAAGAGGACATTGTTAAATGCCCTGCAGGACAGATCACAGAATCTGACTAGAGTTCCAGCTTAGGTAAGGCACAGAGCTGGACTGGCTTGGAATCTGTACAGTGGAGAGGGTTCCACTTTCCAGAGGTTTGGGTCTAGAATAGGGAGAAATACTATTCCCCAAGTCCCTTGAGTTTTCTCACCTGAAGATTCCTCATTGTATCATCTTTGTCACAGTTGTCAATAAGTATTTCTGATCTCAAAGGAAAAGCTATGTTTTACTTATCTTATACTTCCCAAGTGGAACACATACTAGGCCCTTAGTAATTGTAAATTGAATGCATAAATCAGTCAACACACACAAACATACTTGAATCTCAAAGGGATTTGAAATTTACTTTTGTATCACAGTGAACTAAATTTTGTTTTTTTTGTTGTTTGTTTGTTTTGTTTTTTTTAGACAGAAGCTAATATAATTCAGGCTAGCCTTCAATTCACTATTAGCCCAAGTTGGTCTTGAACTTGATGGCAATGCTCTTGTCTTGGCCTCCTGAGTGCTGGGATTACAGGTGGGAGCTAGCATACCTTGATAAAACTGCAAATAATATGCCTTTTAAAAACTGAATTTATAGCTGCACATAGTGGTACACACCTGGAATTCCAGTTACTCTAGAAACTGAAAGTTCTAGGCCAGCCTCAGCTATTTCAATGAAGCCCTGTTTCAAAAGAAAATACAAAGGGTTGGGCTTGTAATTCAGTGTTCCCTGGGTTCAGTCCCCAGTGTTGGCCAAAAGATAGCAGTCATAATAATTTAATTTGTGGCTTAATGATAACTATCCATCCATACTTGTTAAAATGTTTACTAGTACATTATATCTAACAATTATGAAGCTACAGTAGACTTCAGTGGCTCTAAGTAGATGCCATGTTCCCCCCAGTTAACATTTGTTAGCAGCAGCAAAATGTGTTACTCTACCTTTTAGTCATGCCTGGAGGTAACTCATAAATAGAAGTTGGAAATAAATTTAATCTGAAGTTCTGAAGATAGTTTCAGTCTCTTGGGGCATGCAATTGAACAAGAAGCACATTAATAAGAGACAAGGTACAATTTTAGTTCGTATTTACAGGCAAGGAATACACAGAAGTGGTTTGATTTGGAGGTTTAACCTACCTTATAATAAACGGTTTGAGTTTCAAGAAATGTTACATTGAGGGAAGTATCTGTGAAATGAACGGGGTTAAATGGAAAGTAAGATCTACTGTAGTAATTTCTGCTTATGCAGCATCATCTTGTTGTCAATTCCCTGGCTTTGTAGAGGACCACCTGTCTGATGTGAAGTGATGAGACTAACTTCTCTCCTCCTTTGTTGAAGGTAGGAGCACCACCTTCCTCAGAGATAAATTATACCTGGAGTCTAGACAGCCAAAGGAAGATCAGAGAAGTCTTCCTGCATCCCTTGATTTCTATTTGCTTTCAGTTCTAAATAATTCTTACATCAGTGTGTATGTTCGGGTGAGGCATGTTCTGATGTTTTTCAGATGAGAGGCAAAACCTTAAGATTAGTTCTAGCTTTGTATTACCTATATTTTCCAACTTTTCCTCCAAGTGCCCACCATGCCCAGCTAAGAAATCTTTTCTTAGACCAAGAGTGATGGTGTACACCTAATCCAGAATTGCGGGGAGCTGAGGCAGAAGGATCACCAGGTGTTTTCCCAGGGTATTCTGGTGTTACCTTCAGCCCTTCCAGTCCTGGGTAGGGTAAGTGGGGTTGACTCCTCCCTGCAGGAATGGAACCCATCTCCCAGAACAGATGCTAGTAGTTGAGAGGTCAGATCCCAGGTTTAAACTACAGCTGACCAAGGAAGGCTTCTGGCAGCCTTCTAGTATCTCTTCCCATTTTACACCCAGGCTTAGTGTGGAGCCTTCTTTCTATGCAGGTGCAAGAGGGCAGAGGCCGCATATCTATCTGCTTCTCTACTTCTTCCTTGCACTGTTGCCTACCCTAGGATGAGTCCTCCTAGCACTCTTTCTTTCTGTCCTAGTGATTTGAAGACTCACCTGGTGCACTGGAAGGCTGGGCCATCATGACCCACCTGCTGGCCTCCGAAGTACAGCAACTTCTCCACAATAAGTTTGTGGTCATCCTGGGGGACTCCGTGCAGAGGGCCGTGTACAAGGACCTAGTGCTCTTACTGCAGAAAGACTGTCTGCTCACTCCCAGCCAGCTCAAGGCCAAGGGGGAGATGAGCTTTGAACAGGACACACTGATGACTGGAGGCCAGAAGGACTCCATGCACAATGGCACTCACTACCGCGAGGTGCGCCAGTTCTGCTCAGACCACCATCTTGTACGTTTCTACTTCCTCACTCGTGTGTACTCCAAGTACCTGGAGACCGTTCTAAAGGAGCTGCAGGCTGGCGAACACACCCCTGATGTGGTCGTCATGAACTCCTGCCTCTGGGACATCTCCAGGTATGGCCGAAACTCCTGGAAGAAGTACCTGCAAAATCTGGAGACCCTGTTTGAGCATCTGCACCAGGTGCTGCCTGAATCTTGCCTCCTGGTGTGGAACACAGCCATGCCTGTGGGCAACAAAATCACTGCGAGCTTTCTCCCTCATAAATGCTGGCCCTGGGAAGTCCCCTTGAAGCGCTATGTCATTGAAGCCAACTTTTACAGCTCTACTAAGGCTGTCAGCCATGGCTTCGATGTGTTAGACTTGCATTTCCACTTCCGTCGTGCCATGGGGGGCCTGCAGATGGATGGGGTGCACTGGAATGAGCACACCCACCGTCAACTCTCCTGCCTACTCTTGGCCCATGTGGCTGATGCCTGGGGTGTGGAGCTGCCCCTGAAGGCCCCACTGGGCATGCTAAGCCAAGGTGGCCCTGTCGAGGAACACCCTGGCCCAGGCATCAAGAGGAGGCGCCTTTCTTATTACCAAGATGGAGCAGCCTCACCTCTGCTCCCATCTTGGCCCCGGCCTCTACTTGCAACCCCACCCTTAACCTTGTCCCCACTCCTTCCCCTTCCCCAGCCGCCTCCACTCATGCTCCAATCATCTCCTCCTATTCCTGCTTATCAGAGGACACCCCCACTCCCACTCCATCCCCAAGATCCCTATTTTTCCTCAGACCATGTTTTCCAATCAGATCAATTCTCTTTCCATTCAGACATTCCCTCATCTACACAGCCAGGATTTACCTTCGAAATGGACTTTATGTTTGATCCTCAGCCACCTATGTCTGGCTTCCCCTCACCCTCTTACCAGCAGCGAGTCCCCGTGGTGTACAAAGGTTTCCCCAGGTATCAAGTTGAGGGCCCATACGTGCCCTGGAGAGGACAACACCCCTATACACCCCAGAGAGGGCGACCCAGGCAATCAAACAGACGGGGCCGAGTACAGGCCGCTGTAAACTGAACTCTGCTTTTTCCTCACGGGTACCACTGTGAGGTCTGTCTGGCTCTTTCCCTTGGCATGACCTGTGGGGCCTGTGCCCCACCAACTTAAGCCCTTAAAGGCCAGAAACCCTTAGAGTCCATACATGTTTGCTCATTGCTGTTTCCAATAAAGACCATAAGGGGAGCCTGACCCATCCTTATTGCCTATTTTCTCTACCCTCAGAGGTGACCAAGCATTATTCCTGCTTCCCCATTCTCTATTTACTTTGCTTTTTTTATAAATACAAAATTGAAATACAGAAATTGTTTCACAAAAGTTATTGTGGGTTGTGTATGTGCGTGTTATATTTAATAGATGGTCTCCCTATCACAGTTAAACAATTAGTAAGAGCAAGAACAGTATCTGCTGATGAAAGGCTAGGGCATCCACTGGTAAACTATCCGAAACAGTTTGTTTAAAGTTTTCTGAAGGTTTCCACAAACTAAACTAAAGCAAAAGAAATTTTTACATTTCTATTTTCCAGAGATTCTCAAAGAATCATTGAGTTTTAGAGATAGGAAAATGAAAAATATAGAACAACCAACACTGCCAGACAAGGAAACTAAAAGATGAATGACTTGTTCAGGTCACATAGAAAATTATTCCTTAACTAACAAACCTTTGTTGGTTCTGGTTTACATTAATTTTCAAATCTCCAGACTAATACCACAGCAATATCAAACCAACAAGGGAAGTCTAGCAAATGTGGTTTTAGCTGTAGAAGTGATGGCCAAACCCAGTAGCTCCAGAACTATAGTTCTCTTGGCTAGATATGTAATGAGTTATATGTATTGGCGTACTTGTCTTTCTGATTCCTTGCACAGTCCTGATTTTTTGACACAAGATTACAGAAAAGTAAGATGCACTTAATGAGAATCACCATCGTAAAATTCCAAACTGGAATTCCAGATCCTTACTGTGTCAGTTCTAACAGATGGCCGCGGCGGTTTGCCTTTGTTCTATAGGAATGTTGACATCACTAAGGATCTTTAAATATTAGGTCTTTGTCGCTATTAAATTTGTTAACATTAGCATTCAAAATGAGTTAGGTGCCTTCATTCTGGCTTTATATTTCCCAAGCAGTTTTTACCTGCTACTCTTGAGTAAGCTGACAAGTGTAGCATCTGTATTTCCGAAAATAAGCCAATGAGTTGGTGTTCTGGTTGATATCTTCTCATGAGTTAGGTTAGCAAGTATTAATTTAATCTGGTTGCGTCTATTAATTCAAGGAGAGTGAGCTCCTACAGACACAGTGCTCTAAGCCAGACCATAATCGGTGATAAAACTAACATTTTATTTTCTTTCAGGTGGGTAGGAGTGCAGGTATATTTGGTCAGGAACAATCTTTCCCTTGACTAACATTATTTATGGGCTCTGTAACGAATACCACAAACAACACATATTTATTCTCTTTACAGTTCAGGAGATCAGGAATCTGAAATCCACTACTTGAAAATAAAATCCTTACTATATCCTACACTGTCCTATCCTTGGAAGGTTGTCCTATGAAACGTCTTTAATCTTTATGCTTTTAATCACAGGGGGCGTCTCCCAGTCCATATATCATGTCATGTCTTTTTAGGGTCTTTGCACATGTATTCCCTTTGCCTGGTATGTTCTATATCCCTATTTCTCTGTCCATCTAACATTTCATCCTTCCGACCTTTCCTTGCAAGTCACATCCTAAGAGGACTTCCATGACCATTGTGTCTAAAAGCACTGTTAGAATATATTCTAGCATCCTTGTTTCCTTGTTCTGTTTCTCTCACTCAACATCTGCAGCAGTGGCTTGTTAGACTCCTTTCCAGAAGGAATGCTCCATGAGTCTTGCTCACTGTTGAATTCCCAGTGCCTATGGCATAGTGCCTGACAAAAAGGTATTCACTTAAACTTGCAAAACTAGAATTAATACACAAGAATCAATTTGTGTTAAAGTCAAACAGCACTGGATTCCTTTTCTCTGGACAAATATCTGCAGAGCACTCTGTCTTTACCTAAGACATCCTGGGTGACTGCCCCTTCCTCCTCACTGAAGCCCAACTCCCATCCACTGTGGATAAGAGTCTGAAAGCACGTTTAGTGGACCTCGTGTTTATTTCATACAAATCCTGGCCTTTATCTTCCAGCCAAGGGCTTTCTTGCCCCATTTTTCCTATCGTCACCTTGCTCTTTAAATCAGGAGACTAGCAATGTAATCAAGCTATTGCCTGATAAAAAGCCCAAATTATTCAGCCTTTATGAGAGAAATTATGTCTCCGTTGTTATGACTTAGAATGCAGTGTTCATTTAGCCTATTCTTTGGCCTTAAGAAATGATAGCCATTGGAGCTTTTCATCCTTGACTTTTGTCTCAAGTTTTCTTGGAAAAGAAAAGTAAAATTAATAATGAAATTGACATTATCCAAGCAGTATACAATTCTCACAAGATTGTATAATAATATGCTGATGACTAAAACTTCAAAGTTGTACCTATATTTTTCCATAAGAACAAAGCAAAGCTCATCAATTTGAAAGCAAATGGAAACTTCTTTCCTACCCTAGGAGTGCAGGAGCAAAGTAAGCCCCCACCCATTGGTCACCACAGAGCTCTGGGTGCAACAGGCAACAGTTGCATTTAATTCTGGAATTGTGCAAAGCAGTTGCTGTCTCTTTCATGTGCATAAATTCTGCAAGGTGAGTCGTTTCAAAACCACTAATAAAACGTTTGTCAAAGTCAGGCATGGGTGTCTCAGTTACTTTGCAGGTTTAGAAGGATAGCTTGAGCCCACGAATTCAAGATCAGCTTGGGCAGCAGAGCTGGACTTTGCCTAAACAAACACAAAAAACTCAAATTGAAGAAAACCATTGTTTTAAGCTATTACGTGAATGTTTCTATAAACATGAGGAAAAATGTTTTCATCCTCACAGCTTCCTGAAAGTCCTTCACCATTGTGTGCTTAATTTATATAGTCCTTTTTCCCCAAGACTGCCTCTTAAACTTCAAAATTAAAGAATCATTTCCTGAAACAGCTCTTTGATCCATAATTTTTTTCTCCATACACATTCTATAGAGATACCACATTTACAAAATGATTCACTCTATAATTGTGAAAATTCACAATGACTTTTTATTTTGGTTCTTTTTCATTTTTTTTCTTTTTAAATTTTTTTTCCTACGCATTGACTTTTAATGAATGAACAGCTCTAAAAAGTTCTGGAAATATAAATGTGCTTAAATTAACCTACTATCTGCTACTTTGGTTAACCACAGAATCATTTTCTCCTTTGGTTTTGTTTTGTTTTGTTCTTTTGAGACGTTGTCTCACTATGAACCCCAGGCTGGCTTCAAACTTTTCATTCTCCCACCTCACCCTCCTAAGTACTAGGATTATTGGTGGACACTACCACGCCCAGCTTCTGCATTTTCATTTCTAGGTCTTTTAAAAACATTTTGGGGAAATTCTAAAGAAAAACAGATAAAAAGTGAAGGTAAGTAAAGAGGTTTGTTTTTTTTTTTTTTTTTTTGAGAAGTCTCATGAGTAACATTTTATATAGGAAGCCCTTTTCTTGTATAGCACTGTATATAATGTTTGCCCAGTTACGAGCTATTTATTAGGTAAGCTTGAGCTGAGCATAGGAAGAAGTAGTTAGCTAAGGAGCATGAGGAGGATGGGGCAGTGATTCCTCCTCCCTCTAAAGTGGGGACTATAGGGATAGCCAGCCTTAATAACAAGTTCCTGGGTGTGTCCAGTCCAGCCACAGATGATGGTGTACAGCGGAGAAAGTTTAATCCATGTGTGGCCCTCCATCTCAGAAGATGCCAGGCTAGATCTCAATCGCATTGTAATTAGGAAGAAGAGAAGAAATGTTATTCTGAAGTTACTCAGAGAGTCATTCAGCAATAGCATCATTTTTGCAGTGCTTAATGACTACGTTATTAGGAGCTGGACAGGAAAACGCTTGTTTTAGAGGAACAAGAGCACCAGCAGGAGCTGCAATTGCAGAGATGCCCTAAACAGAAGAGACAAGCAAGCATCCAGGTGGTCTGACAGTGTCTCAGCTGGATTCTGGGCAAGTTCTCTTTATCGTTTTTGTAACTCCTCTGTGCAACAGCCCATATGCGGCTTCTTGAATTTGGTGTCTTCTCATTCCTGTGTCTCGGGAGCTTAGGCTTATTTGGCGGTAGTTTTGGATCTTCTGTTTTGTGTCAGCAATCATATCACATGATCCACTCTAGCCCTGGCCACATCTTGCCCTCAGGCAGTGATTCTCAACCTTACTTGCATCAGGGCCTCCTGTGGGGCTTAGTAAAACACCACTGTTGCAGCCTCTCCACCCCCAGGTCTCAATTCAGTGTATCTACTGTGGGCCCTTGAATGTACATCTCTAGCTGTTCTCATGTGATGAGGTCTATAATTTGGAAACCACTCTTACAAGTTTTTTCACCTAAAAATATAGAAGTATTCAACTATTGCTAACTGCTTGCTATGTTACATCTTTTTAATTGAAGTTTGTTTATTTTTGTGGTACTGGGGATTGAACCTTGGGCCTTCACACTAGGAATATTCACAGTCTTTTTTTTTTTTTTTTTTATTTTAATTTGGGACAAGTTCTCAATCACTAAATTGCCCAGGCAGGGCTTGAACTGTGATCTTTCTGGCTCAGCTCCAGAGTGCTGGGATTAGAGATATGCACCACCATACCCAGCTTTGTTGAAATGACTTTGTAATATTTCATCCCTAAGTATTGGGAAATAAGAACATTTTCCTGTATAACCAAACAATTGGCATTATATCCAACATAACTGACATACTTGCTGATATCATCTGATACTCAATCCCAAAAATGTTTTATAGAAGTATTCAAGCTAAGATACACTAGGAATTACACTTTTTTTTTGTTTTGTTTTGGTTTTTTTTTGGTCTTTTTCTTTTTCATCGGTACCAGGGATCGAACCACAACTGCTTATTTGCAAGTCAGGTGCTTACGCCACTGAGCTAAATCCCCAGCCCCAGGAATTACACATTGCTTCAGTTGTTACGTCTTTTTAATGTAAAAGAGAGCACAATGCACATTGTCTTTCTGTCAAGTCATAGATTTGTTAAAAAGTCTTGTCCTATAGAATATTCCACATTTGAAGTCTTAATTTCTTCATGGTAATCACTTCACTTTTACTTTACCCCTGAGTTTCCTATAATGTAAATGTTAGCTCTAAAGACTTGAGTAAATTCAAATGAGTATTTTTGGTAGAATATTTCATACCTGAGTCAAGTGGCTCCCCAATATTCGATGCTAATC